TTAGGAAAGAAATCTTGAGGCTTACTTGCCCCTCCTTAAGGAGCCCCACCGCACGCAAGTCAAGTCATCTCTGGGGCATGGACTAATATTTTTTATTTTTATGTTTTTGTTCATTCTCACCTGAAGATATTTCCCATTGATTTTTAGAGAGAGTGGAAGGGAGGAGGAGAGACACATGGATGGGAGAGAGACACATCAATTGGTTGCCTCCTCCATGTGCTCTGACGAGAGCGGAAATTGAGCCTGCAACCAAGGTATATGCCCTTGACCGGAATAGAACCCAAGACCCTTCCGTCCATGAGCGGATGCTCTATCCACTGAACCAAATAGGCTAGGACTGGACACTAATATTTTTTAAAAGCATCTAGGTGTTTTCAGTGCATAGAGTAATTGTCTGAATACTTCTTCTCGTGGTCAGTCGTCCACACCACCCCAAGCAGGAGTGTCTTAAACAAGGCCTGATCTTCGCCTTCACCTGGCACAGCCTTCCATGGCTTCCATCATCAAGCCCCAACTCCGCCTAGCACCCAGGCCTTTCACAATCTGGATCCAGCCTCTCTCCATTAATGACGTGAATGGCCATGACTGACAGCATTTCCTATGACCCTCGCATAGCTCCGAGGGCTCGACATGTGGTATCCTAACCTTAGGAAACTGAGCACTTTGGCTCAGTTTCCCTCGTTTCAAGAAAAGCATTTAGATCTCACTCATTTATGGATACCGTATTTTCTGGTGTATAAGACAACCCCCTAATTTTACAGTTAAAACATAGGTTTAGGCCTATATTCGCTGTATAAGACTACCCCCCCCCACTTCCGAGGCAACACCAGTTCTTTTTTTAATTAAATTTTTAATGAATGACATTTTTCGAGCATACCGTAATATACCGTACATTGATACGATAAATGGAAGGTCTCTTCACAAATGGCAATGCCATGAACTTGACCGAGAAACAAGAAATCCAAAAGAGAACATTAACAATGATGGCATCATCTGGAAAGAAAATTACATGAAGAACTTGCAGAAAACGCTTGTTTGTGACTGAGTGGGATGATAAGAGGTTTTTCTAGGCAGAGGAGCATTGTGAGCTTAAAATCTTTCAAAATCCTCATCATGTTCTTCTTCTGACATCATAAGTTCATCAATGACCTCTTGTGGTACATTTGTAAGACAGTCATCATATGGATCAAATTCCGAATCAGATGGTGTGGCTTCAGCTTCGGCTTCCCCTTCATCTTGCCACAAGAAGTCATCCTCCATACCGTCCAAAGAATTTGATATGCCACACTTCTTGAAAGACCTGATTACTGTTTCTTCAGTAATATCATTCTATGCTTTTATGAAAAAGTCACACAAAATATCCAATTGTGGCGCATGCATGTTTCCTCCTTTTGTGAATAACTTTTCGCCACTAACCATCCACTCATTCCACTGTTCTCTAATGCGACCTTTAAATGGCTTGTTTAGGCACACATCCAGTGGCTGTACCAATGATGTCAATCCTCCAGGAATAACTGCCACATCTGTGTTTATTCTTGCTAGCCTGTTCTTTGTGCTGGTAGTTAAATGAGCCCTTATCCCACCCCAGTAGGCTACGTTCTTGACGAAGTCCACCTGGTCGCCTACTCCATACATTATCAAGCCATAGCTTTACCCCTTCTTCATCCATCCATCCTTTTTCATTCACATGTACAAAAACTCCAACAGCGAACTTGATTTTTGGCATTGTTTTTCTTTTAAAAATAATCATTGGTCTTAGTTTGGCACCATCAGCAGTACATGCTAGTACCACTGTAAAACTGGACTTCTCATGTCCTGTTGTTTTAATTAACACTGTTTTTGCACCTTTTGGATTAACAGTTTTATTTCCAACCATATCAAAATTCATAGGAGTTTCATCCATATTTCCGATCTGACTTAATGCATAGCCATGTTTCTTGCGCTGCTGTATTACATATTGATGGAAAAGACTTACTTTGCAGTCAAGATCTGCAGGTAATTTTTGTGCAATTTTGGTCTTTTGCCTCAGAACCAGATCGTGCCTTTCCAAGAAACTAGTACTCCAGGATACAGTGGCCTTAAATCCTTTGCTGTTATCTGGATTAGATTTGGCCCACTGAAGTGCAAACATACATATTTTGTTTCGTGTCACTACATAACCATTTTGACGATGCTCAAGAACCATGTCTGCTACATGCTTTTGGAGTTCTGGCCAATAAGGGGTGCCTCTTCTTAATGCACACTTACTCCTTGGCATACTCTTTAATGCATCTTCATTTGCTTTCCAGTCTCAGACCATCTTTTCTGTTACTCCATATTGTCTTGCCGCAGCACAGTTATTGTGTTCCTTGGCAAAGTTTACAACTTTCAGTTTGAAACTGGCTTCAACTTTCCTTCTTGCTGGAGCCACTATGGGTTCTTTTCTACCAGCCATTTGTTGTACACCCACTAATCTTTTAGGCCGGGGTTATACAGTATGGTAGCTTCAGCTACACACAGAATGTTCTATTACAGTACCTTTAACTCACTGTATGTGTCCTGATACAGCAGCTTTGGCTACACAGAATGTTCCTGTGCTGCAACTGTATGTACCACGGTGAGCCAATCACAACAAGCAAAGGTTCAAAGGTTATAATAGACCGCCTCTCTGACTCTGGCCAATCTGAGCAGGCTTTTTACTAGAACACAGTGTAGCTTTGGGTACAGAACATGTGTAATTTGCATGCATAAAAAGCCTGCTTGGATTGGCTGAGTTAGAGAGGCGGTCCGAGCAGCCTTGCAGTGATTGGTGCGGGATCGAGTTGGAAAATTTGTTTAGCGGCACATCGAGACGTTTTTCAGGATATACTCGGCATATAAGACGACCCCCGATTTTCTGTTGACTTTTTTTTCCGTTTCAAAGGTCGTCTTATACGCCGGAAAATATGGTAATAAAGAAAATTATAAACTGCTGAACAAAATGATAGATACAAAGACAGTAAAGTATCAAACAGAATGTCAAATTACAGCGGGAAGGTTAGGGAGAGGTGGGGCAGATAAGAGATCAACCGAAAGACTTGTGCGCATGCATATAAGCATAACCAATGGACGCAAAACTCTGTGGGGTGAGGGCATGTATGGGAGGGGTGGGGGGCAATGGTAAGATGTACACATATAATGCCTTAAGAAAAAAAAAAAAAGCCTTTAGCCCTATGTTCGGTACACAGTAGCCATTCCTGTATCATCCGTGTTTTATAGATGAAAGAGCTGAGGTTCAGGGGCTGCCCAAGTTCATAACCCTCGTAAGTGACCAGCTGGAGCCCGAACCCGGGAAGTGCAGCTCACGCTGTGGCTGAAGGCCTGTGCTCCACCCAGAGCCCTTCCAGAGCTCGCCTGGACCAGGTCTCCAGGTCTCTGCACAGGGGTTCCCTGCTCCCGTCCGCCGTGGGAACACCTCACTTCCTCCTCCTCCTGGAAGCCTTCCTCCCCACGTGCCCACCCCCCATGACCACCTCAGGCAAGGCAGACACACCCTCTGTGTCCCCCTCAGCCTCTCCACAGACCTCTCTCTCACCAAACTCACTCAGCACATGCCCTCAGGGTGGCAAGTGTCCTTGTCACCTCAGGCTGGGCCATGCCTGGCCGGGAACGGAGCAGGCCTCTGCCAGTGTTTGTTGCATTTGTTGCTAATCAAACCCATCAGAGAGAGCCGGGCCCAGGGCGGTGGAGAGCGGGGGCGCCTCCTGCCCTCAGCTGTCCTGTGCTCCCCGGGCCAGTGCACACTCCTTGCTTTGGCCAGAGCTTCCTCCCCAGGGGCCAGCACTGCCAGTGCCCTGGCCCTGGCTCTCACTTCTCTCTCCAGCCTCCTCCCAGAGTTGACCAGTGGGGAGTTCACCTCCAACGGGCCCTGTAGCACCCAGCAGGTTGAGTCTGGAAGATTCCTCTCCTCCCCAGTTCATTTACTCAACAAATGTTTAGAGAACATCGACTGAACCAGGAGCAGAGCTTGGTGCTGGATGCAGGGTAGAGCACACACTAGGCGCGGTCCCACCTCACGGAGCTATCATGCTGGCGCGGGAGACAGCCAACAAGAACACATGTAAGCGGTGGTACAGGCCTCTAGTATGATATAATTTGCATGTCTTAAAGCTCTCTGGTCTCTGCTAAGAAGTGATTGACAAAGCAGAGGGGGTGAGGACCTATGTGGGGCAGGATCTGGGGCAGGTGATGTGGACAGCTCAGGGGGGTGGCTGTGGGTTCACAGAGTTGTGGAGAGACTCCAGAGATAGTTAAGAAGTAGGATCACTCAGAAGTTTCCAGAATTTCAGAAGAATTAAAAACAAAAACAAAACTTTATTGGATGTCTGCAACACCCCAGCAGTGGGGTGGGAGTCGGGGGCACCAGAAAGGCTTGTGAGTAGGAGCAAAAGATACAAATCCTCACCCACAGAAACAATTATAATACATCCAGTCACCCTCCCCCCTTGCCCCAATCTCCTGGGGAGAATGAACCCAAGACCAATGAAGCTGCTCAAAGTTCTGGGCCCTTTCCACCTCCTCCAATGGTGTCAGCAGATTCTTTTGGAGTTGGGTGCTGGAAACACAGGAATGAGATTCCCTCTGCCGCACTGTGAGGAAGTAAATGCCGGGGCTAGGACGTCTCCAAACCACCACCTGGAGCCACAGACGGAGGAGGGGGAGGAAGTGAGGAGGGAAGAAGATGGAGGGGAGGAGGAAGAAGAGGAGTTCTTCCTGCTTTTTGTGAGAAAGTGGAATTGGTCTTGCCTTCTGCCATCCCCCCCCTTCCTCTGTCCCAATCCCAGGGGCCTGCTGAAGGCCCTGCCCTCTGTGGCCCCCCGACACTCCAGGCAGTGTCCCCTCCTCCAAAGGACCTGTGCTCAAGGCCGCACATCTCGGCGGGTGCTGGACATCAATCTGATGAAAGAATTACTTGAGCGCTTTAGGCTTCCTTGAGGAATCTGCCTTCAAAAGAGCTTTCTGGGTCATTTAAATGACCCTCCGGTGTTTGCAAAGTCTACTTTTGAGCCCAGAGAGTCTCCTTCATTTAGCCTCTGGGGAGGGCAGTTCCATCGAAGGGTGGGTGCGAGGATCTCCCCGGCGGTGGCACTGGACGTGTCTAATAACCAGTGCGCTACGAGCACCAGCATTGCCCTGGAGGGCTCCGTGACCCTGGGTCTGCTGGGCATCAACCAGCACAGGGGTCCTGGGGGCAAAGCCATGTGGTGGGGGACACCTGAGCCACTCAGGGGAGGCAGGGCGTTGCCATGGAGCACATGAGTTTCTACATCTTAGCAACAGGTCTGGCAACACTGGTCCCGTTGAATGTCAGTCCTGGGTCTACCCCAGCCTTGTCCAGCCTCTGCCCTCCCTCGGGGAATGGTGACTGGGCCGTTTGTTCCCTCTGAGAGACGTGGGGCCTGGGCTGGAGCTGGGTAAGGAGCCTGTGAACAGAGCCAGCTGTGTGGAATCCTGGGTGAACAGGCTCTCAGGCCCTCGACCCCCTGCGTGACCTGGCAGGGCCAGGCCGCCTCTGTCTGCCCTTCCTCTGGGCCTCCTCGCAGTTATTTCTGTCCAGCCTACGGCCTTGGCTGTCCCAGCAGTCTGGGCTCCGTGAGCCGGATGCAAACCAGGCAGCACGAACGTCTGGTTCTGAATCCCAAGAGGGTTGCTCTCTGAGCGCCATCACGTGGGAACATGGCTGTCCACACCGTTCGCACAGCGGGGGCCACACGCCTGGAGGATGGTGACAGCGCAGGGCAGAGAGCTGGGTTCTCTGCTCAGTCCCGGCTCCAGTCTGAGCGCGCTGTCCCAGGCCTGGTGGTCGGGGTCGAGGAGCTGCACTGCTGCCAGGAGACCTCCCAGCTGTGTGCAGGGAACTGCTGGTCAGCTGGAGGGACGGTGTCTGCAGCAGGCCCTGCTGGGCTCCCGACCCCCAGGCCTTGGCCGTGGTGGCCAGCGGCTCTGTGCTGTGGTCCGCTGTGCTGGGTGGGCAGAAGGCAGGTGGGCGGGGCAGACACTGGGTTCCAGCCCTGGGGCCTGGGAAGGCGGCAGCCAGTCAGTCACTGCTCCTGGTTGGGGTCTGATCTCTCTTGGGAAGCAGCCAGCCTCAGGCCTCTGTGCGTTTTAGGTCAAAGCTTTGTTCCCAGAGGGAGATTCATGCCTGCTGCCCCTGTACCCTGGTGCAGGAGAGGGGTCTGGGCGCGGCTGTTACTAGTAGGTCTTCCGGAACGCATCTGTCCAGGTCAGAAGTGAAAGCAAGCCTCTGCGGTGAGAACTGCTGCAGGAGAGCCAGTGGGGAAGCTGGAGGAGCAGTTAGGAGGGGGCAGAGGGCTCTGATGGGTGAAGATGCTGCTGGCACTCATGAGCCAGTCCAGGAGGCAGGGCTGGAAAGGCAGAGCCACCTTCAGCTCCCCATCCTCAGTGCGGGGCGGGGCAGCTTAGAAAGCCCCCACGTCCATGATCTCGGAGGCCCAGGAGGGGCAGAGCACGGCCCGTGCCGGCCGCCCAGCGGGCCCAGGGGAAGACGGCCTGAGGGCGGAGGGCCTGGCGGCAGGAACAGTGGCATAGGCAGGGGACCTCCCGGCACTGGGGGCCGTGGGGGAAGAGGATGGCAGGAAGGGTGCCATGTGGCTGCTCCGGGCAGCCCTGCCGCTGGGGGCCATGGGCAGGGGGACGGCTGGCCTCTCCAGAGGGCGGACCCTCCGGGCAGAAGATGCCCCTCGACTGGGCAGCAAACTCCTCCGGGCTGGCAGGAGGGTGGCAGCGGCCCTGCGCAGGGGAGTGGTGCGGAGAGCCGGGGTGGGGTACGTAAGAGAGGAGGCGCTGGGGAGGACGGGGCCCGGCACTCTTCCTAGGATGGCAAGCTGGCCGTTGGGGGCGGACAGCCCCGGACAGCTATGGAAGAAGGACCAGGGCCAGGCAGGGAAGGCCAGGGGGCTGGCAGGGGTGGGGGAAGGCTCCATCTCAGCCGCGTAGCTGTTGAGGTGGGAGAGGAGGCGGATCCGCACGGGGTCCGCTCGGCTGCTGGGTCCCTCCAGGACCCCCAGGTACCGGACGACCTCGGTGAGGCACTCCCGGAAACCGATGCTCCGGAAGTCAACGGCCAGGGTTCGGGCATCAAAAAATCCTGCAAAGGGAGGTGTGATGAAGGCATGCCCAGTGGGAGCACAACCAGGAGCCTGGGGTCTGACAGCCCGTGTTCTGGGCCTGCCTTCCCTACCCACTGCCTGTGTGACCCTGGGCCCCTCACCTCTCTGAGCCGCCGGCTCCCCGCCTGTAGGGTGGGAAACATCCCTACTGGGCAGAGGGGCTGGGTTGTGAGCATCAAATGAGTTCACTAAACTATGAAGCATGATAAAGTGTAAGTATTGTTTTCTCAGCACACTTTATGGCTAATAATGCAAAGAAGAAACTTCAATCAAGAAAGTAGAGACTTGCCAAAACCGGTTTGGCTCAGTGGTAGAGCGTCAGTCTGCAGACTGAACAGTCCCAGGTTCGATTCCGGTCAGGCGCATGTACGTTGGTTGCGGGTACATCCCCGGTAGGGGGTGTGCAAGAGGCAGCTGGTCGATGTTCCTCTCTCATCGACGTTTCTAGCTCTCTATCTCTCTCCCTTCCTCTCTGTAAAAAATCAATAAAATATATTTTAAAAGAAAAAGAAAGTAGAGACTTGCCAAGGGTGAAAGGGTTGTGGATATGGAGGCACGAACGTCTGGCTCTGCTGATGTGGGCAGGTGCTGGGAGACTCCGTAGAGAAGGCAGTAAGTATAGTGTGGCAGGAAGCCTGAGGCCTTTGGAGGCCACTGCACAAGCTGCCTGGCCATGGACAAGTCTCTTAATCTCTCTATGCCTCAATTTCCTTAGCTGTAAAATGGGCATGTAACGGTACCTGGTATTGACTCGTGTGGGTGAAATGAAATGAAATGAAATGAAATGAAATGAAATGGTGCACAGCCCGGCCAGCATGGCTCAGTGATTGAGCATCGACCTCTGAACCAGGAGGTCAGGGTTTGATTCTGGTCGGGGCACATGCCCTGGTTGTGGGCTTGATCCCCACTGTGAGGCATGCAGGAGGCAGGCGATCAATGATTCTCTCTTATCATTGATGTTCCTGTCTCTCTCTCTCTCCCTCTCCCTTCCTCTCTGAAATCAATAAAAATAAAAAATAATAATAAAGAAAAAGTGCGCAGAAATGCTCAGTAACATAGACGCTAGCCACCGTTTATAGTTCTGCTTGTCAACCAGCCAAAAGGGCCGTCTGGAAAGTGACTCCACTTGGCCCTCAGCTGCTGCCCTCAGGCTGGGGACCCTCTCTTGGGCAGATTTCCCTGAGGAATGATCAGACGGACTGCCCACTGCCTCCTCATACCTGCCCTTCTCTCCATACCACCTTCTGGGCAGCCACAGAACAGCCCCGTGAGCAATGGCCTGGTGACTACAGCAGCAAATATCTGGTCCCTGGCTCACAGCTGAGGCCCCGCAGAGGGACAGCTGGGCAGGAGCCCGTGTTTGCGGTCAGGCCTCCCTGGAAGTGAGCGTGCTGGTTCTGCTGTGCTGACCATGAGCTTCACCTTCTGTGCTCACTGTTCGTTTTTAATATGTTCTTTAAAATTGATTTTCAGAGGGAGGAGAGGAAAGAGAGAGATAAGACACTGGTGAGAGAAATGGATCAGCTGCCTCCTACATGCTCCTTCTAGGGATTGAGCCTGAAACTCAGGCATGTGTCCAGACCAGGAATCGAACTGGTGACCTCCTGGTGCATGGGTTGACTCTCAATCACTGAGCCTCACTGGCCACCCTTCACTGTTCTTTTTACTTGCGTTTGTTGAGTTCTTATTAGCACTTAATTTGCATTATTTAAGTTAATTTCCTAAAAACCCTTTTTTAAACAATTGATTTTAAATAGGGGAAGAGAAAGAGAAGGACATAAAAACCCTTTTGTTATTCTCACTTTAGAGATGAGGAAACTGAGGAATCGAGAAGTTAAGTCATTTGTCCGGGGACACAGAGCTAGTAACAGTAGAACCAGGATTCAAATGCAAAGCCAACGCTCCCAACCACAACCCTCTGTCTTCCCAGGAGGCTTAGCCAGAAGGGGGGGTGACAGCAGCCCCACCCAGGAGGTTTCTGTGAGAACCCAGTGAGATAACGTTAAGGAGAGCATCTGAAACGATAAAATGCTGCCCGGATTAGTCACTCTTCCTCTTCAGTTGGAGAACCACACATGCAGTTTGAACTCTCTCCCCGCTGGCTGACGAGGGGCCCTTTTCCACTGCTGGTCGTGCATTCCTTTGGCGGGAGTTCTCCGAGTGACCACCTGCATCAGGGTCAGCGGGCGTGCTTCCTAATCTTGCAAATTCCTACACTCCAGTCCAGACCTACTGCCTCAGAACCTCCGGGATGTGGCCAGGACTCTGCCTGCCCCCAGATGACCCTGCCACACATGGAGAGGGCTGGCTGGGCCGCTGAACAAGCCCCTGTCCCCTCTGCGGGGAGGAAGCTGGGGTTTTGGGACGCAGGCCTTTGTGGCCAGGTCTGGGGAGCTTTCCAAGGCTTCCCAATCGTGAAGTCACCAAATACACAGAGAGGCTCCAGGTAAACACAATTTGTGTTTGTCCAGAAGTCTTTTTAAAACTACAGTTCCATGGCTGTGTTGTAATAGACTCGTTCAAAATAACAGACGGGGTTGCCTTTGTATTCTGCTAAAATCCTGAGACGGATCTTCAGCTGTGAGCATGACACATGGCCAAGGTCAGAACAACCCAGAAAGCGAGGCCAGTGGGAGGCACACGGGTGAACCATAGTGGCCGGTGCTCCCCCTGGGAGCCCGGGGAGAAGGAGGTCATCCAGGCTAACGCTTAACGAGGCCCTGGGGGTGGGCCAGCAGGAACAGCCTGTTGGAGGAGTAGCGATGAGGAGAGCGTTGGGACAAAGGGAGACACTGAGAGTGGAAAGGGAGGTGTCCAAAGAAGGAGAGAGACAAGCTTTGTGAATGTTCTACCTGGATCTGCACCAGCTTCCAGGGACCGTGAGCTCCATGAGGGCGGGGCTCATTAGTACCCCCAGGGCCCAACCCCGGAATGCTGGCCGCGGAAGTGACGCCCAGAAGAGCAGAGCCCCTGTACCTGTCCCGCCGGTCGCGTGGAGCATTTTCAAGTGGTCTACCGTCATCTGCAGGACCTCAGCCTTCTCCAGCTTGGAGGAGCCCTGTGTGCACAGAGACAGGGGTGTTTCCCTTCCTCTTTCCCCGTCCTCTCTCTAAGAATCAATTTTTAAAAACATCTAGCGCTCATAAAGCAAACAAACAAAAAACATCCAGCGCTCAGCTCCCCCGCACAGAGTCATTAGCTCCCACTGTCAGCATTCCCATCTTCCTCCTCCTCCATCACTGCCTGCGACTGGTCTTCGAATCCAATCAATTCTATTCAGGCTTCCTGTTAGCGCACTTGCTCACTGCACCGCTGGCTTGGCGTCCGTGGCACCACTTTTTCTTGGTTCTCCTTTCACCGGGCCTCTTGCTCTGTTCCTATTCTTTAAAACCGTGGTGTCCCTGGTGGGGGCTGGCTCGTGGTTCGCACTCTGCACACTCTCCGCAGAGGATCTTGTCTCTTTGCTTGGCTCCATACACCAGCACCAGAATGCTGCTCCTGAACCCCATCCTCCCCGCCTTCCTACTCACCACACCCAAGGGCTAGCTTATCGTCTTACCCCCAAGAGCACTCCTCCCCTGTTCTCTCTTGGGAAATGTTTTATAAGCCTCCAGCATCACCAGGTCTCCCGGGCGAAACCTGAGGGTCAGACTCTGCGTGGGAGTGCCTGAGGGCAGGCAGCAGGTCTCCTTCATCACTGGGCCTGTGAAGCTTTCAGTGAGCACCAGGGGGAGGACTGGCTTGCTCTCACCAGCGGAAGAGAGAACACGTGACCCATGACGGCCTCGGGAGCACAGGTCTTTGAGGCTGTCTGACTCCCCACTGCCCTCCTTTCACCCCAACACGGTCACTGCCAGAGTGCTCCCTCCCTGAGCAGCCGGTTTCGCTTTCCGGCAGCTTCGGAAACGTCAGCAGTGCGGAGGGTTAGGGCGCGTTAGAGTCACGGAGTTCTATGTTCCAGTTCTGCTCTGCTATTTGCTGGCTGTGTGACCCGGTGTGGGTTACTGCCCCTCTCTGTGCTTCAGTTTCCTTACCTGTGCCACGGGCATAATATTCCCTACTCTTTAGGATCATCCTGAGGACTCAGTCCAACGGGACGCTGGATATAAAGCCATAACACCTGAGGTACCTCTGTGAGTATTTATGTCCCTTCCCCTTATCCCTGGCCAGTGACGGACGTCAGCAAATGGCATCACAGAACGGCAGGCAGCTGTTCACAGTAAGAGATGCCACGATACAGGACCCTTCTCTGCCACCCACACCGACCTCCTCCAGCGCCATCAGCCGCGTCAGGTACCTGCTTCTCGAAGGCGGTGGGGACCAGGCGCCGCAGTTCCGAGAGGCTGCTGTTGATGCGGTCTCTTCGCCGCTTCTCTATGATCTAAGAGACGATGACAGGAGCTTACACATAGGCACTTTACAGTTAGTTCTACATGCCTCGATGGACGGTCACTCATATTTCCCTTCCCAATACTTTTGTGAGGGAGATACGTCTATTCTTACTTTATGGAGGGGGAAACTGAGGCTCAGAGAGGGGCAGTGGCTTGTTTAAGGTCACAGCAAGGAATGCAAAGTTGGGAGAACTCAGCTCTCTTGTCTTGACCTGAAGGGGGATATGCTAAACGGATAGCCACTGGCACAGCACCAGCCAATCAGAACGGGGACACCAGCCCCCTGGAGCGGGCCCTGGAGACCCCTGCTGGGCCAGGAGGCCTGAGGAATCAGCACTGCCTTTCCTCTCTAGCTGTGAAGGCTTTCACACTATCTCGGTCTCTTCTCACAGTAGTGGTAGCAGAGTACTGACAGCAGGGCAGAACTTATGACCCCCATTTTACCAAGAAAGAAAACGAGAGCTGGCCCTAGCTGGTTTGGCTCAGTGGAAAGAGTGTCGGCCCCAGGACTGAAGGGTCCCAGTTCAATTCTGGTCAAGAGCACATACCCGGGATGTGGGCTCCATCCCTGGCCCTGGTCAGGGCATGTGCGGGAGGCAACCAATTGATATGTCTCTCTCACATATATGTTCCTCTCGCTGTCTACCCCCCTCCCTTCCACTCTTTTTGGAAGTCAATGGGAAAATATCCTCAGATGAGAATTAACAACAACAAAAGCAAATGAGGGCTGGATGGAAGCGGTCTGTGTAAGGCTGTCTGGTCAGTGAGTGGCAGGGCTGGTGCCAGTGCAGACACACAGCTGCATGTTTTTAAAAAATATATATATATATATATATTTTATTTCTTTTTACAGAGAGGAAGGGAGAATGATAGAGAGCTAGAAACATCAATGAGAGAGAAACATTGACCAGCTGCCTCCTGCACACCCCCTACTGGGGATGTGCCTGCAACCCAGGTACATGCCCTTGACGGGAATCGAACCTGGGACCCTTCAGTCTGCAGGCCAACGCTCTATCCACTGAGCCAAACAGGTTTCGGCTCACACAGCTGCATCTTGGGGGGAAAGTGGGGTTGGGATAAGATGGCCAACAGCAAGCGGGGGCATCGCCTTCTTTTGTCCCCCTCACTCATCCCTCCGCACCCAGAGAAAAAATGGAAGTTCTGGGTTCAGAGAGAAGAGTAAGGTTGGGACAGATATTGGCTATTTGTGTTCACATATTGCTCTGAGTGTGTTACCTCAATTCCCTTAATCTTCAAAACAATACTTTGAGCCCTAGCCAGTTTGTCTCAGGGGATAAAGCATTGGTCCTCGGACTGAAGGGTCCTGGGTTCGATTCCAGTCAAGGGCATATATCTTGGTTGCAGGCTCGATTCCAGGCCCTGGTCAGGGCATGTGAGGGAGGCAAGCAAACGATATCTCTCACATCCATGTTTCTCTCCCTCGGTCTCTTCCCCCTCCCTTCCGTTTTCTCTAAAAAAAAAATTCAATGGAAAAATATCCTTGGGTGAGGATTAACAACAAGAAAAAAGAAAAAGAAAAAAACAAACACTTTAGGGTAGGCACTCTTCTGTCAGTCACACAGCTGATGAAATGAGGCACAGAGAGGTTCAGTATCTTGCCCAGGGTCACCCCGCTAACTACTCGCAGAGCCAGGATTTGAACTCAGGCCGGCTAGCTTGCGGTGGTGTTTCTGACCAGGTTTCTGGAGGCTAGGCCCCTGGGGACCCGGCGTAAACCCCTGCCGGGCAGCTCTGCTGCGAGACACCCACCCCGCGGCGCTTCTTCCGGGCTTGCATCTGCGAAGGGCTGGGGGTGGACAGCGGCCTGGCCATCTGGCTGCAGAGGAAGAGAAAGGCAAACTTGTCAGAGCGGGAGGACCATGTCCCTGGCCTGGGGTGACCTCGGGGCGAGCACAGCCCCTGCTGGGCGCCTGTGGTCCCCAGGCTGGGAGGAGGCACAGGCAGGCGTGGGCGGGAGCATTCTCTCCCTTCTCCCCCGGGCCCATGCTCCCAGGGTCAAGTCCTTCCCTGCACCGGCTGAGCTGCCCGGGCGGCGGGGGGCGGCGGGGGAGGTTGGGGGGGAGGGTGTCTGGTGGGGCGGGGGTGGCGGAAGGGAAGGGAGGTGTGGGCTCGGTTCTCGCCTCCTCCCCGGCCCCAAGCTCCTCTCCCGCGGCTGGAGGGCGGGCATCGGAGCCGCGGGCAGCCACTCCGGCTTCTGCAACTCGATCCCGGGCGGGGCGGGCGAGGGCAAGGGCCGGCGGCGGCCGCGGGTTGGGTTTCAGAGGGAGCCGCTGGGAGCGAGCGTGGAAAGCGCAGATGCCGCCGCTTCCCACGGGCCGGCGCCGGCTGCCCGCCCTCCGCCCCGGCTGCAGCTGCCGCCGCCTCCCACGCGGCGCGGCGCGGCGGGGGCGCGGGGAGCGGCATCTGGGTCACAGGCCGCTCCGGGCTCTGGGGACGCTGCTGGGCCTCCCCCGAAGGCCCCCCCACCCGACCCGCATCACTGCGACCCCCCTGTCCCTCTGCCCCCGCCCCTCCGAAGGCGCAGCCAAAGGGGGGATGTTTGCTCGCATCCCAGGAGTTTCCATCACGGGGAAGAGGCTTAGCCCTCGGCCTTTCCTGCCCGAAATCCTCCCCAGCCCAGCTGCTCGCCCTCCTAACGGTTCCTGCTTCAGAGGCCTCCTGAAATGGAGGGCGTTCGCTAGGCTGCACCCCCCCCCCCGAGGCCATTCCTGGGGCCAACACCCAGAGGTGCGGCTCAGGCCCCGCCCTCCGGACCCTCAGCTTTCATGGCGAGACACCAGGCCAACAAGTAACCTCAGCCAGGTGACTCCTGCCATTTCAGATGCAAAATGCCGCCCGTCTGCACAGGAACCACGAGCTTGCCTCCACCTTACATGGGTCCCCTCCCTGGGTCCCCACCTCAGGGAAGCCACCCTGTCTTCTGGTTCTGCAAGGGGGATCCCTGGCCACGGTGTTTGATTGATTCCCTCTAGGTCCTCATCTGGCTCCTCAAAACCTAACACATCTCACTTCTGCCCTCCTCGTCCCCCCTGCAGCTCTCAGGACCCAGCCCTATCACCTTTCATCCAACAACCGCAAGAGTCTGCGGCCTGCCCCTTTGCACCCCACCTGCTACCCTCTGCATGCAGCAGAGTGATCACTTAAATGCAAATCTGACCTTGTCACTCTCTTAAAATGCCTCAGGGGTTCCCCAAAGCTTTTAGGATCCAGACCACCATCCCTCAGGTGGCCCCGCGGGCCCCTGTCGCCTCCTGGGCGCACCTCTCAGGCTCTCTGTGCCCCAGCTCTCTGTGAGCGCACCACTCCTTCCTGTGGGTACACGGGCCTGTCCCCTCGCCTAGCATTCCCTGCCCACACGTCTCCTTGCCCCCAAGCTCCAGGCCTGTGGCCCGATAATATATACCACCCTCAGGCCACCTTCCTGGGAAAGCCTTTTCTTCTTCTTTCCTTCTTTTTATAAAAAATCCTCACCCAAGTGAGGTTATTTTCTCCATTAATTTTAAGAGAGAATTGGAGGGAGGAGAAGGGGGGAGAGAAAGAGAAGGATGAGAGAGAGAGAGAAGAAAAGAGGAGAGGAGAGGCAAACATCACATGAGAGAAACACATGGGTTGATTGCCTCCCACTCTCACTCTGACCAGGCCAGGGATTAAACCTGCTACCGACGCACATGTACTTGACTGGGAATTGAACCTGAGACCCTTCCGTCTGAGGGCCGGAGCTCTAACCACTGAGCTACCGGCCAGGGCATGAGATCTCCCTCCTACTAAGTACTTATCCCTTACTCTACAGTCCCCGGTCTCCCGCACTCACAGCAGTCAGGACCCTTCGTTGTTTCACATGATTGTTTGGTCAATGTCTGTCCCTCTAACAAGTCTGAAAGCTCCGTGAGGTCATGACCCACGTCTGCCTCATTCACTATTGTAGCCCCAAGAGCTTGGGACATGGCGGAGCTCCTGGCTGAGCCCCGTCCTGCCCTCATCTAGAACATCACTGTGGTAGGCCTTTGCGGAATGGGGGCATCTGAGGCTCACCCGGAAGGTCCCAGTCCCCGGGACTGCCCCTTGGATGTCAGAGGCTGGGTGGTTTTCCTCCTCTGCTCAGAGTACATGTGTCAAACACAAGGCCCTCGGGCCAAATCCGTCCCGCCAGGCCTTGCAATGTGGCCCGCACCGCGCTGTCATCACTGCACTCCGCTGCGTTTCCATCACAATGACAGTTTATGACTGTTCAGTAAACCATTCGGCCCGCGATTTAGGCTGGATTTTAGATTTTGGCCCCTTCTCTGATTGAGTTCGACACCCCTAGCTCAGAGAGAGAAGGTTTGCAGGAGAGACCAGACCAACATGTGTCAGATCCTGCTGCTATGCTCTGGCTTTGGGCAGCCACATCTGGAAAAGGCTATCGCCACCCGAACATCTGGACAAGAAGGTCTGGTCAGAGACCAGCGAAAGCTCCCGGGAGCCAGGTTCCGGGAACAGATGGCCGGACCCTGAGCTCTGTGGAGCAGTTTGTTTACAAGCTTCACCGGGGACAAGCCCCAGGAGCCAGGCATCCGAGAAACACAGCCTTTGTCCCCCCAGGCTGGATAAGGCATCGCTAGGGGTATTGGGTTAGCTTTACCCACGTCACCGCCGCTGAGCATGATCCCTCCTGAGGGACCGTCGGTTGGAGGCTGACGCACCTCTTCAGGGCAGGTGGCTCTGCCATCCCTTTTTCCGGTCCCCTGGCCCCTGTTCTCTGCAGTCTTATCCCACTCCCACAGCTAACAGTTCCCCTGGCATCACTGAGTACGTTTTCCTCCCGTGAGCCTAACAAAAGCCCCATTTTACAGAGGAGCATGCTGAGGCTCAGCAGCCGAGGCAGTGTGCCCAGCCTCCGCAGCTGCTAAGGAGCAGAGCCAGCCTGGGAAGCCATGTCTGCTGGCTCCAGACTCGGCATTGTTTTCCCTCTTAATTCCAATTTCCTGTCTGTCTGAATAGCCCTCCAGTCCCCTTATCCTTCGCGTTCCCAAGAGCTCAGCGTGTGCTCATTTCCAGGCTGTGCTCTGGCCCTGACACGGACAGGGAGGAGGTGTGAGAGCTTCTTGGCGGAGAGCCTGAAAATAAGGCAGATTTCCACGGGCCCGGAGAAGACAAGCTGGCCACCAAGATCTGCTCCATGGCCCTCGCGCGGTCCTCGCCAGAATCCTGGGGCGGGGACCGTGTTCTGGGGTGGTCTGGCTGCCAGTCGTGGCCACCCTCAGTGCTCACCCTCAGGGTCCCTTGGGAATGCCTCTGTGGAGCCCTTACAGATAATCCCACTCACTGTGCATCAGCCAAAGGCCGAATGACAATGCCCTCCATGAAGGGACTTCAGACACCACTGAGCCCACAGGTCAAATGGGGAAACTCAGGGAGGGGAGGGAATCTGCTCCAAGCCACACAGCAAATTAGAAGAAATTCCAAGTTTCCTGGCTTTGAATCCAGTGCTCTTACCAATGCACCCCATATAGTCATCATCACAACTTGCAAAATTCGCAGCCAGTACTTTTTGTTCCTCAGCATGTCCACAATTACTTGTCTTATGTATTGCACAATAGCCCTGAGGGTTATATGTTGCTGAGGCCATTTCATTTCATATTTAGGAAGAACAATCATTGGATAGATAATGTGGAGTGACAGAGACATGGAGAGTTAAGAATCACGGCCAGTAAGTCCAGTCTGCAGACTTCCCGTCTCTTCATTAGACTCCGGCCTCGTGAACTTGGACCCTCCAGCCCCTTAGGGAGCGCCATCGACTGGAAGTTACCTTGGGCCAAAGCAGGGAGACGTGTGTTGGGTTCATTGCTTTATCCAAGCCTCACCCTGTGAGGTAGATGCTAGGGGCGCCCCCCCCCCCCCCCATTATGTCAGGGAGAAAACGGAGGCTCAGAGATGCCCGAGAAGTGGTGGGAGTCAAACTCGGTCCATCTGACTTCAAAGTCTACCACGAACCTTCAAACATGAAGGAACAGCCCACAGCCCCTGACCCAGGCCTCACACGGGGCAGGTGCTCACCAAGTGTTTGCAGAAGGGGAAGGGAGAGGCCGTATGTGGTCCCAGCATGGGGCTGGGTTCGGAGAGGAGCCCTGTGGGTGATTCCCACGGACGAGACAGGATGCCACCGCCAGGCAGATGCCCACAGGGACAGGCAACACACTCTGCTCTTTGCTCTCACAGCTCTGAGTGTGGGGGGTTGCGCCCTGCCTCTGACCCCCGGGGAGGCCCTCGCCACTGTTTGTCTGGCTGTCTTTGTACCCAAAGCCCTTCTTCTCTGAGAGTTCCCTGCGGGCAGCGGCTGGGCAGGATACATCTGGGCCCCCCACGCCCAACCCGGGGTCTGGGCCACAGCAGGCATCGTTCAGCGATCCCTGAATCGAAGCATTGATGTCTGCTGGGGGGAGGGCCCCTTGGTGAGTGCTACAAAGAGGGGTCTATAAGTCAGCTCTGCCAGATGTCCAACTGCCTTCTCTCCTCCGATGGGTCTGCTCCTCTAAGAACTGAGACAGTCTCTCAAGATGGGCTCTGGCTGAAAGGACAAAGCGCTGCCCACGGATTCTGTAGGCAGCCCAACGCCACCACCTCCAGGAAGCCCTCCCTGCTGCCTCTGGTTGTAAGAGACCTCTAGCTGTGTGGGTGCCTTCCCAGCCCACAGCCTGTCCCTCTGTCCATCTTCTGTGCTGTCCATGGTCTTTGTGTGACCTGGAAGGTCACTGGCCAAGCTGCAAGTTCTTAAAAGGCAGAAGCCAGCACTGATCAGCCTAGCTCTCTGGAATCTATTTTGTGCCTCTGATTCATGAAGACCCAATGACCCTGAATTTGGACCCCCTCCTCCATCACCACCACATGGTTCTAGGCTCATCCCCGGCACCTAGCAGGCACAGACTCAGAGAATTACTTATCTAAAGAGTGGGTTTTGCCTCGCTAGTATGGCCCAATGGTTGAACATCAATGGTCACAGTTCAGTTCCCGGTTAGGGCACATGCCCAGGTTTCTGGCTCAGTCTCCAGTAGGGGGTGTGTAGGAGGCCGCCGATCAATGATTCTTTCTTATCATTGATGTTTGTATCTCTCTCTCTCTCTTTCTCTCTAAAACCAATTTTATATATTTCTTATTATTTCTTATTGTTTTGTTTTGTTTTGTTTTCTAAACAACTTAAAAAGGCTGTTAAGTTGCATGGAAAATCATGTTATATATTCCAGAACCCAATGAACAGAATGCAAGAGCAATCTCTATTGCCTTACCTCCAATTATAAGCCATAAATAATTGAAAGCTGGTGGCATTTTTTTTTTTTAAAAGCTGGTGACATTTTACTAGGATTTGTCATTGAGGCAGGATCCCCTAGTCTTATAAACTGGAGATCACTGAATCTATGAAATGCCCTGAAAAACATCCCTAAGAATAACATGAACACCCTGTCTCCTTCCAACTCTATTCTAGAGAGACAGACCTGCGTGAGCCCAGGGAGAGAAGAGAGCCCCTTCTGTCCTATTTCACTGCTGAGGCCACGGGCGCACAGAGGGAAAGCAATGGCCCAAGGTCACATATGAGTTAGTGGCAGATTTGGGGCTGGGACCCAGGGCAGACGCCTAGTCAGCCCCTGTTGCTCCTTCAGGTTCTGGGTGCCATGCGTTGGGTTCCTGACGCTAATTAAGTGTTTGCTTGGAGCTAGGCCGTGTGCTAAGCTCTTGGCATATACTATCTCATTTGATTTTCCCAATATTCCCATGAAAATGGGTCTATTATTTATACCCATTTTATTTTTAATCCTCACCTGAGGACACACTTAGAGGGAGGATGGGGAAAGAGAGAGAGAGGAGAGGAGAGGAGAAGAGAAGACATCAATCAGTTGTCTTCCCTACATGCCCCTTCTCGGGGGTCAAACGTGTAACCCAGGTATTTTCCCTGACGGGGAATGAAACCAGCAGCCTTTTAGTGCACAGGATGACCCTCAACCACCACACCACTCCAGCTGGGCTATATCCACTTCACAGATGAGGAAACCGAAGCTTGGGTTGTTCACAGAACTTTGAAGTAGCAGAGCTATCCGACTGTCCGACTATATGCATGTGCAGTTCGTTCCACAGGTTTGAAGCAGATCAGAATACTTACCCAGAGCAGACAGACCTGGGCAGGAGGCGGTGCGACAGAAAGGGCCCTGGGATTGGAGCCTAGGCCCATGCCCTGACCATGGGCCAGCCAGCTATGGTTTTCCTCAATCAAAATCGTATTCAAAGTCCAATCTGCTCAAAGGACAGATGTCCTTCTTCCCCTAGACGTACTGTACTATATCAAAAGTGCACCCAAATTAGGGAACATTGGGGCAGGGTGGCTGTTCTGCAGAGAGGGCTCTGGACAGGCGGTGTGCCAACAGCCTCTGAAGGTTTTTCCTAAGAGCCTCCTCCCAACGGCCTCACCTGGGCACCTCGACAGAAAGTGACCACTCATTGGACGGATCTCAGACCCGCGAGCAGAGCACTGTCTGCATCCGAGCATCCCAAACCCTCAATGGCCGAGGGTGCACAGGACCCCAGGCCCGGTGCATGTGAGGGCACACTGCACCCCCCTCTGCACCCCCCCATGCACCCCCCCTGCACCCCCGCACGCACACACCTGCGGGCCCCCGCCCCCGCCCGCGCCCCGGAGACGGCGCCGCACGGAGGACCCTCCCCGCGTCCAGCCCCGTCCCGCCCTTACCCAAGCTCTCCCTCGCGGCCCACGTCGATGGGGCCGTCGGACTCGCCGTCGGAGCCGCTGGGCTGCCGGGGCCGCTTCATGGTGAGTGCCGGCTGCCGGGCCTCCGCCGGGCGCTCCGGGCTCCGCCGGGAAGCGGCCCCGCCCCGCCCCGCCCCGCCCCGCCCCGCGGCCGCCGCCTTTCCCAGGCCCCTCGCCCCCGCGGAGACGCGCCGCCGGGCCGTGGGAAGGCCCCGGGCGGCCCCGCCCCCGCGGCGGCTGGGAGGTCCGGCCCGCCGGGCCGCCGCGCTCTGGGTGGCCTTTGGCAGGTGCCCGGGAGGCCTCCGGGGAGCCGGGCCCGGCTGTGCCCAGGCTGCCCGGGCCAGTGCCCCCGCGAAGGCGAAGGTGGACCCACCGGCTCCAGCCCTGGGGTCTGGGTGCGGCCACAAGTCCAGTTTGGTGAGGGTTGGTGGGTGGCTGTGGCCTGATCCCGACAAGGATCCCCCGGCAAGCTCCCCCCTGGGGGTCCAGAGCAAGGGGAGTGTGTGTGTGTGTGTGTGTGTGTGTGTGTGTGTGTGTGTGTGTGTGTCTGTGGACCTGTGTGGGGGAGGCCACCATAATCAGGTGTCTCCACGCAGGGCTGCCGTGGGGGGCGGGAAGGGCAGTCCTTCTCAGATGGCAAAACCCCATCCTCCAAATGCAGGGGTGGCTTCCTGGGTCCGGCTGGTGAGTCTAAGGCGCGACGTCTCTGCCCTGCCACACGCAGCCTGCCTTCCCGGCTCCCTGCCCGGAAGTCCCCTTCCAGGATGCTCCCGTCTGCTTCCTCCAGAGCCTTGGGGGCTCCTCTGGGGCACTGGCCCAGGAGAAGGCAGGTGGGCCTCTGAGAACCTCCCGTGAGCCCCTCCCCCTGCAGGCGTCCTCAAACTTTTTAAAGTGGGGGCCAGATCACGGTCCCTCAGAGAGCTGGAGGGCCGGACTATATGAACTACTAATTCCTACTGTAACACCTCGGCTGCGCTCACTGCCCAAAAAACCTGGCGGGCCGGATCAGACTCCTCTGCGGGCCGCATGTGGCCCGCGGGCCGTAGTTTGAAGACCCCTGCGGGCCTAGGGGCTGGAGCACCCACTGGATGAGCAGTGTGGTGTTTGGGGTAGGCTGGAGCGTGCCTCCCCACCCCCCTTTTGAGGCCTGCCGCAGCTTCAGAATGAGCCCTCCCTGGTGCTCTAGGCCGCCCAGGCCAGATCTGAAGCTGTGACCTGGGAACTGATTCCCAGAGACCCGCTCCCCCCCCCACCCCCCACCCCCAATATCTAGTCAGGTCCTGAGGGACCTAGGCCAAAGCCAGTCAACATTTGGGGATGACAGCAGACTCTCACAGGTCTGACCACACCCTCACCCCACTCCCAACCCCACCCCCTCTACCCACTAATAATACCCACTGGTAGTACCTGCCTCGGTTTGTGCAGTTAAAAATGTCTCTATCCCTGATCCGTGTGGCTAAGTGCTTGGAGCATTGCCTGTGCGCTGAAGGCTCTCGGGTTCCATCCCGGGTCAAGGACATGTACCTTGGTTGCGGGTTTGCTCCCCACCCCAGATTGGGGTTCTGGTGGGAGGCAACCAGTCAATGTGTCTCTCACACATGGATGTTTCTCTCCCCGCCCCCCTCCCTTCCTTTCATTCTCTCTCTGAAAAGCAATGGGAAAAAATATCCTCGGGTGAGGATTAACAAAAATGAAATTTTTTTTTTTAAATGTCTCTAGTCTAGATCATACTAAACGTTCCCTGGGGGAGAAACCGCCTCTGTTGAGAATCACTAGTCCAGAGAAACAGGGAGATTGGGACACTGAGCAGAAGAGAGAGCTGGGAGAGGAGACGGGGAAGGAGCAGCCAGGGAGGTGGAGGGGAGAAGAGGGGGCGGGTGTTACCGGAGCCAGAAGAGTACTCGGTCATTATCCTTTACAGCGCCCGTCAGATCATGTCACTTCTTGCTTAGAACCATCTACAGGCTCCCATCATACGGAGCCCAGAATGTCCACTGCTTCCCATGGCCTGTGTGTGTGGGGGGTGGCTATACAGCTTATCATCGAAACCTGGGACGGCTTTGAAAGCGAAAGGAGGGATACTGATGACTGTGCTGGGGCAGTTCAGAGTGCACTGCTGCCTGGCCCTGCCCTGCCCGCTCACTCAGCCACGAGAGCCCTCCTGCCTTTCCAGTGGTTGGTGCGTTTGCTGTTCCTTCTCCCGGGAATCCTCTTCGGACGCTCGCTGCTTCAGCAGGACGTACGCAAACACCGGATCCTCTCCCCCAGATCTTCTCGGATTGTCTCAGGCCATGCCAGTCTTTGCTCAAATAGAACATCCTCAGTGAGAACTCTCTCTCTCTCTCTCTCTCTCTCTCTCTTTCTCTCTCTCTCTCTCTGCAGATTTTCATTGATTTCGCAGAGAAAGGGAGAGGGAACGAGAGAGAGATAGAAGCATCAGTGGTGAGAGAGAATCATGTCTCCTGCACATCCTCTACTGGGAATAAAGCCCGAAACCCAAGCATGTGCCCTTGGCTGGAATCGAACCTGGGACCTTTCAGTCCACAGGCTGACGCTCTTATCCACTGAGCCAAGCCAGCCAGGGCAACTCTTTTGACTCCCTATCTAAAAGAGCCACCAATTCCCCCAGTCACTCTGTCCCCCACCTCACTTTATCTCACCATGCAGCACTGGCACTATCGCTGATATTACGCATGTTGATGTAGTTGGTTCTTGTCCCTATCCCCTGGTTAGAGTCCTTTCTGTTCCCTGCCGACTCCCCAGCAGCAGCACAGCGCCTGGCAGGTAGCAGGTGTGCAATAGACATGCTGGCAGAATGAACTCATTTGAGAAGCTTGCCTGATGGACAGGCGCACCATGAGAATGGCTGGAGGGAGAAGTGGAGTCCAGGCTGTGTTTGCTTTTGCTCGGTTTCATTTTTAAGGTGGGGAAGAGCGGGGCATCGATCAAACACCAGGAAACCGCTCCATGGGGCTCTTGGGAAAGGCTTCCACATGGGCTGTGATGCTCTGTGTGTGTGTGGGGGGGGGGGGGGGCACAGTGGCGGGCGTTGGGCAGGAATCACTTTTGTTGCTCATTATTATGTCCCTTAGTGCCTAGCAAAGTGTCTAGTACAGAGTAAGCACTTAAAATGTTTGTGAAATACATAAATCAATAACACAAAAATAAAATTTGATGGCACTTACCATGTACCAGGCACAGTACTATTGGATATACATCTGTTTGTTTTTCTTATTAATACAGCATTTATCTGCCTTCCTCCTGTCAAACCCTGAGCCAGCCGCTCTCCCCAGGCTGCCTGAGGACGTATAGGAAAGGCACCTACGGGGCAGACAAGACATGGGAGAAAGCAGGATGGGGGTGGAGGCAGCTCCCGCAGCGGAAGAGGGTGAGAAAGGCCACCAGCAGGCAGAGGAGCCCAGGGCCTCTGAGAGGGCAGAGCCCAGAGGGCGCAGGAGAGCTGTTGCTTCAGAGCAGGGTTCCTGGCATAATCGGTGCAGAGGCTCCCAAACACAGTCCCAGGTCCAGCCCCAGAGCCTGCCCCCTCCTGTGGCAGCCCAGCCCCAAGGAGCGAGGCTGCTGTGTCCATGGCCCTTAAAAAGGCGCTGGTTTGGAAGCTGCGGCTAGAAATAAGCGCGGTCAGGGGACCCGGGCTGCCAAGCAGTGAGGCTCTCCCTGCCGGCAGCACCGCTGCAGGCAGTGACCACTGCACAGTGACCGCAGCAGACAGTGGCCGCTGCATACAGTGGCCGCTGCAGGCAGTGACCGCTGCACAGTGACCGCAGCAGACAGTGGCCGCTGCACAGTGACCGCAGCAGACAGTGGCCACTGCACACAGTGGCCGCTGCACAGTGACCGCAGCAGACAGTGACCGCTGCACACAGTGACCACTGCAGAGTGACCACTGCAGATAGTGGCCGCCGCAGACAGTGGCCGCTGCAGACAGTGACCGCTGCACACAGTGACCGCTGCACACAGTGACCGCTGCACACAGTGACCACTGCAGAGTGACCGCTGCAGATAGTGGCCGCCGCAGACAGTGGCCGCTGCAGACAGTGACCGCTGCACACAGTGACCACTGCAGAGTGACCGCTGCAGATAGTGGCCGCCGCAGACAGTGGCCGCTGCAGACAGTGACCGCTGCACACAGTGACCACTGCAGTGACCGCTGCACACAGTGGCCACTGCAGAGTGACCGCCGCAGACAGTGGCCGCCGCAGACAGTAGCCGCTGCAGGCAGTGACCGGTGCACACAGTGACCGCTGCAGAGTGACCGCTGCACACAGTGGCCGCTGCACACAGTGACCGCTGCAGACAGTGACCACTGCAGAGTGACCGCCGCAGACAGTGGCCGCCGCAGGCAGTGGCCGCTGCAGGCAGTGACCGGTGCAGGCAGTGACCGGTGCACACAGTGACCGCTGCAGAGTGACCGCTGCACACAGTGACCGCTGCAGGCAGTGACCGCTGCAGACAGTGGCCAGTGCAGTGACCGCTGCACACAGTGGCCGCTGCACACAGTGACTGCTACAGAGTGACCGCTGCAGGCAGTGGCCGTGACCGGCTCCCTGAGGCGCCCTCACCTGGAGGGGTGGAGACACACGGTGCAGGCACTCATTGTCAGAGGGTGAGGGGGCTGCGCCAGTGCAGAGAAGACAGCACATTAAAGCATTTAAATCTCACAACAACCTATTATTATTATTATTATTATTATCATCTTGTTTAATGAGACATAGGGAAGTTAAGTAACATACCAAGATGGCACAGCCAGTAAGTGGTAGAACAGGGACTCTAACCAGGCGGGTGGCCCCTGGATTCATGCTGGAAGCCCCTGCAGCATGCATTCGATCAGGACACTCATGCAAACAGCCAGGCGTGTGGGGCTCCTGCAGACGGGGTGAAGAGGGAACAGGTCCCAGTCACGCTGGGGGTCCTGTCTGGGTGACTGAGTGGGCGCAGGTGACAGGGTCAGTGGGAGACACAGCAGAGGGTGGCCATGGTGTTTGTGAGACCCAGGGCACACCCAGGAGGAGAACCCGGAGCGGCCGGGGCTGCAGCAGACATCGGGTGGCTGGGAGCTGAAGCCACCGGAACATGGAAGAGCACAGGGAGCTAGCACAGAGCAGGAAGGAGGACCCAGCGGAGAGCCTGGGAACAGCAGCCAGAGGCACTGGGAA